TTGATTGACACTCCAGCTCTGTGTGGCTGCAGGAAAGTCCCAGGTTTTTTTTTTTAAGACCAAGGAAAATGCGAGGCTCAAACTTTGGAGAATCTTTTCCCCCCCACAACCTTCTTTAAGACGCGCAGATTTCAGTTCCCAGAATTCCCCTCGTCAGGTGTTTGGGGAACTCTGGGAGTTAATCCACCTGTCCCTGCCTATCAAAACAATAAAATAATGAGCTAGATGCAGCCATCTTTGGAACGGACCTAAAGCTGTTTCTTCCACCTGATTTTTAGTGGCTTGGAAAATTACCAGCTTCCAGTCCCAATATTGTTTTTACAAAGATGCTTCCATGCTTCAACCTAGCCCTGCAGCGAGATGGGCGCCAAACAAATTTAATAAACAAATGTAATAAATAAATTTAATAAATAAATCTATCTTCCAGAAGAAGTCAGTGGGTGGGGGTCCCCGTGGATTTTTAGCAGCCCAGTCTTTCAGTGAGATGGGCAGCTACAGAAATCCAATCAATCAATCAATCAATCAGAGGCTCCTGCTGGATCAATCAGGTGGAGAACAGCGCTGGAGAACCTGCGCTGAACTTTGATTGCAAGCAATTTTAGTTCATATGTCCGTGGGGATGCTGCAATAGTCATAAGTGTGAAACAGGGTCCTAACTCACTTTTTCCAATGCAACTTCAAATAAATTGAGGACTACCCATATGTTAGAGTGGCCAAGGTTGAGAAACACAGCTGTAAATCCCCTGAAGTCTCCAGTAAAATAGAGCGATATATAAATATTCGGATCAATAAATAACTGCAGACATTTTCTTTCCTTAGAATTTCTCAGAATAAGAGAATTGGAAGGGACCTTGGAGGTCTTCTAGTCCAACCCCCTGCTTAGGCAAGAAACCCTACATCCTGGGACCCGTTCTTATCCCCTCTTCCCACATCCCCATTTCCCTCTCTTTTAAGTCCAAAGAGCTTTTGCGCAGAGACTGGAACCCCTTACCAACGTCTGGAACACAGAACGACCAACCACGAGAAAAGACAAGAGGTTATTCCAAGCCAAATCCACTTCGCGCAATGTTTGCAAGAGCAGCTCGCTTGTCAATTTCCGAGCGCTCACGGCGTCTCCCAAGCGCTTGGAGATCTGATAGATCTCGGACAATCCTGCGGACGAGAACAAACATAGAAGGGAATTCTTTAGAAGTCCCTCCAAGGGAGAGGGGCAGTTTGGTGTAAGGGTTAGGGGCGCTAGGCTAGAAACCAGGAAAGAGCGAGTTCTAATCCTGATTAGGCCTATGTTCCTCTTGGCTTCTAGGTGCTCGCTAAGAAAGGATTTTTCGAAATGACCATCAGAGCATTTAGTATTTCCTATATTATTATTATTAACACGCTCCGATGCTAAGGAGTTCTACTCCACCTCCCCACCTGAAAAGAAATCTCTTCCAAATGCAAAACACAAGCAGAGGCGTTTCAGTTTCAGTTTCCCAGCACCAGGCAGCTTTAGTACAGAACAGTTGAGCTAAGCCACGCCCAGGCTCCTTGCTGTCTCCTTCTTGCTCACACAGCAAATGCTGCTTCAGTTTCCAAACAGCCCTCAACTCTCTCATACACTGACCGGATACTAGTCAGATGAATTCCGATGGATACTGCTAGGCAAAGGCAGAATTTCCCCCCCTTATTTTCCTCCCCAAAAACTAAGCCCGACCACATAGTTTCGTAGCAAAACACAGGCATCGAGCTAGTCTCCAATATAGTTAGTATGTTCACATTTGCGGATTATTGGCACATCCTCAAAACTTGGAACGAGCAGGTGAGATCTTCAGGAAATTCAAGAAAAGGAAAGAGAGAGAAAAAGGCACATCTGCTGTACCCCAAATGTAGGCTGTTCCAGGAGTAGAAAGCAACACCTCTCTACAGACAGATGGCTGGCTGATGCCTGCAAGAATTTCATTGGCCTTCCCGATTACCTGTCCAGGGGACACAAGGAGACAGGTGAGCACATTCCAAGAGACAATCGTTTTCACATATTCCGTTGGATTTTTAATCCAGTAGTAACTCAACAACTGCAGGGATGTCACTTATCAGCTGTGGGAAGGAAGGTCATAAAATGGGACTTAACCAATGTCTCACTTAAGAACATCAATTTGGGGGATGAATCGTGGTCGAAAACCGAGGCCGTGAAGGCGATTCATCTCACAGCCGTTCCAAGTCTTTGTTGTTGTTTGAAAAACGAAGGGGATGCATAGCAAATCATTTTAATTCCCCCCCCCCGAAAGTCAGTCGAAAACTGGGCCACGGGTAGTCCTCCTTTAGTAGCCACAATTGGGACCAGCCACTTGGTCATTAAATGAAACCACAGCTCTCCTTATGATCTTATCTCAGCTTGCCTTTTGTTTGACAGACCTGCGAAAGTTGCATATGTGAGGATTGGGTGCACAATTAGGTTGTTATCCCCATCCTAACTGTGAATAGTGGCTCAGTGGGACACCTGCCAAATGAGGACCAACCACATGGCTATTTGATGGCTTGCCACCACATGGCAGGAGTTCTGTTTCAAAATATTTGCAGAGCAGTCTGTTTGTTGTGGTTCGCCGGCAGCCGGTGCAGACGGCAGTGGAATCGGACAGTGGGGAAGAACGGGGACCAGTCCAAGAGTCTGGAGAGGACTCAGACAAGGGTCCCTGTGTCCGATTCAGGGATGGGGCCAGGACCATCTGGGAGTGGGGTGCTGACTCCGGAGCCTCCAGAGTCTGGAGCAGCGAGGCAGAGGAACAAGGGGAGCCTGTTCCCTGTGCGCGTATATGCAGAGCTGCCAGAAGGCAAGAGCAGCTGAGACAAAAGGGGCAACTCAGGAGTAAAGCTTGGAGGTGATTGCCGCTCCCATAAGGGATAAAGGACAGGCAAAGGTAGAGAAACCTTTGCAGGAAGCAAAGTCAGATTAAACCTTGAAGCTCTGTGTGGACTTTGTACTTCACTTGGCTTTTTACAGTTCATTTGGCACTTTAGTTGCTGGCAGCCATTCAAAGGAGAGAAAGGTGGGTGCTTATCTCGAGGGATTGTTTGGGACTCATTACAGGCTGGGAATGCACATAATTCCCAGCATTGAAATAAAAAGAGAGCTGTTTGGACTAAGTGTGTGCTTAATTATGGTCTCAGGAAGCCTGGGTCAGAACACCGTGGAAATATCTCAGTGAAAACAAGAAGCAACGGGTAGAAACTAACCCAGGAGAGAAGCCACCTAGAACTAAGGAGAAATTTCCCAGCAGAAGAATTCATCAGTGGAACAACTTGCCTCCAGAAATTGTGGACATCACAAAACTGGAAGTTTTAAAGAAGAGATTGGACAACCAATGACATAGGGCTTCCTGCCTGGGTAGAGGGCTGGACTAGAAGATCTCCAAGATCCCTTCCCACTCTGTCATTCTGTTATCTTAACGTTGGCCCAGATTGAAATATCAAGCAGTTGCAATTACTTGGGCAGAACAGCAGAGGGGAGAAGATTCATGAAGATCCAGGTTGGCCGACATAGTTAAATGGAGAAAGAAAGAAAAAAACTGTGATGCAAGCAAACTTTTGAAAGCTTCTTACTCCGGAATTGCCAAGAAATAAACAAAGAATTGCAAGGAAAAGGCTGTTTGCAGAAAGTGCAAGAAGAGAACTTTCTCTTGGACAACGTAATTTCCAACCACCTATTATAAGAAGCGGTAGGAATTTAATTGATGGAAGGGAAAAGGACACAGAATTCCAGAATTCCCAAGTCAGGTGTAGGAAAAAAGGAGAGTGTGGGGCATGGACATTTTGTTAAGAGAAAAATAGCCCATCTCGAATGACAGATGGAGGCATAGAAGGGGAAGAAGCACGACAGACAAAAAGTGGCATTTGAAGAGGAGCACAAAACGCCAACCTTGTGTATCTGCTGCAAACATCGAATCACATGTGCGGTTGATGAATTCATCTGGTTGGACGGTCTGGAAAGGAACAATTTCCTCAGTAATCCGATTTCCAGGCTAATGATAATTCACACGTTCTTTCCTTTTCCCTTCTTATGGTTAGATTATCCCAGAAATAAAGCTACTTTTTCATCGCTTTTTTGGGGAGCACGGCAGGAAAATCTTCGTTTGCTCCAATTCCTTTCAAAGTTGCATTCCCAATCTGGAATCTTAGATATGCTCTCAGTCTACATAAACGATCTGGAACATCTCAAATCGTATCAATTAACCTGCAGGGCACTGCCTGTTTAGAAAGGTGCAGCACAGTGTTTCAACACCTTGGCAAGTCCAAGATGGGTGGACTTTAATTCCCAGAATTCCCCAGACTGGCTGTGTTGTCCTGGTTTGCCTAGGATAGGGGTCTTCAAACTTGACAGCTTTTAAGACTTGTGGACTTCAACTCCCAGAATTCCTCCTCCAGTCATGTTAGCTCAGGGATTCTGGGAGTTGAAGTCCACAAGTCTTAAAACATGCCAAGCTGCCATGGCAGGATCTTCAAACTTGGCAAGTTTAAGACTTGTGGACTTCACAAGTTTGGAGACCTCTAGCCTAGGTGAATACACTGGTGTGAAAATTGAACTATTCAGAACAAAAAATGGCTTCCCCACCATCAATTTCCTTACTACATCTACACCTGTATTAACCTGAATTTTATTCAGAGGTAATGCCTAAATATTAATGGAACCTAAGAAACAGAGGAAAACTCACCAAATTCTTGGACTTCCCAAAGGAAGTTACTTACTCACCTACTTGGAATTCTTTGCACTTCCTTTAACAGAAAGGAGATAAATTTAACACCTCTCAGGTTTACCTGTCCTGGAACCTGGCTAGGACTTTAGGTCATGTGACAAAACCAGGATTCTGATCAAGCAGGTTTCCCCACTTGAGGTCAGTTTAATCTGTTCCGGGAAATGGGAAAAAAAGCTTCAGAAATAAGAGGCGCTCAAAAGGTCAGTATTCAGTTACCGCTTTTCTCTGATATTCACCTGAATCCTCGGCTGGAGAGTTGGTAACAGACACATTTTCCACGCAGGAGGAAGTAGTAGTTTCAGTTTCCGAGGCAGGTGATTTTTTTAAAAAATGGTTCGGTCATGGAAACCAAATAAAATCAGGCTTTGGTTTCACTTTTTAAAAGGAACACCTGCAAAAGGATTTTGCCAGATTGCAAAGAGGGATCTGTTATATTCAGGTTTCTAAATGCCTTAAAAGCAAAGGGTCTTCAAACTTGGCAAGTTTAAGACTTGTGGACTTCAACTCCCAGAATTCCTGAGCTGACATGACTGGAGGAGGAATTCTGGGAGTTGAAGTCCACAAGTCTTAAAGCTGTCAAGTTTGAAGACCCCTGGAATAGATAGAGGTAGAATAGATAGAGAGAAGGAGAGATAGGATAGATAGATAGATAGATAGATAGATAGATAGATAGATAGATAGATAGATAGATAGATAGATAGGATAGATAACAGGTAGAATAGAGAGAAAGAGAGAAAGAAAGAATAGAGAGATAGAATAGAGAGATAGAATAGACAGAGAGAAAGAGATAGAATAGATAGATAGATCAAGGGTCTTCCAACTTGGCAAATTTAAGACTTGTGGACTTCAACTCCCAGAATTCCCCACCCTTGGGCATGGAAAAAAAAAGAAGAAGTCCAGAAGGAGTTAATGTCTTCTGGACTCCTAAGTTCACCCAGCATGTAAACCATAATGTGATTATTGGAGCTTTTAACCCATTGTTGGAACGCAATTTCAGTGGTGTGCAAATCACCATTCCCTAGCTTAGCATGTGTTGCAAATCCATCCAACGTTGGCTTATTCGTAGCTTGACGGAATGTGAAAACTTTGCCTTGGGATCTAAGGTTACCAAGTATGTTTAACCAAATGACTTCTCTTCTTTAGCATCCATACAAAATATAAACTTCAGCTAGCAATATATATATTTTTCCAATCAGAGAGAAGTTGGCTGGTGTTTGCAACTCCAGCGGTTGATTGAAAGCCAGCCAGCTTGTTCTGCCCTGGATGCTAACATTTTTAGCGACAACTGTAGTTGCTCTAATTACACACAAAGACGACAACATTTCCTTTGCGTGCGCCTGGATTCCTCAGCATTGAACTGGCTGCCAAAGGATGCTTTTCCTCTCCGTTTTATTTTATTTTTTGCAACCTTCCTGTTTCCCAAAGGTTCCCCCCCCCCCCCCCCACCCTCCATACCCCGGGTCACATGCATATTTCCCAGCTTGCTTGCAAAAGCTTTTCCTTCTGGCTGGTTCCAGGCTGCTTGAAATGCTGGGCAGCTGTTGCTACAGCAACCAAGCTGTTTTGTCTGCACTGTGCCAAAAGAAAAAGCAACCCTAAATAATTATCCTTCCTTCCCCGGAAAAGTAATTTCTTTCCCCAAACAGCTTCTCTTGGCTGTCAAACTGTTCCCCACCTCCAGGATTTTGTTTTGCAGAGGCCGGAGGTGTGTCATACACTCCCAGCCCTCCCTTTCCTCCCGGTTCATTCAAGGACATCAGGACACAAATAAGACAAAAATAGAGTTTTATTTTGAGACAAACACGAGCCGAGATACG